GATATTACACAGCGCCTGAAAATAGTCCCCAGCTAGGTAACTTCCAATAAGCCTATTTTCATGCGCTGCGTAATATCATTGCGCCTGCTGCACCCATGGTACGGCAGCAAAGTTCCTTGATTATTAGAGTATAGTTCCTAGCCATATCGGCTTAGAAAATCGCAACTTTTAGTTTATCAGCTTATATATTTTTTTCCGAGATCCCCACAGCAGGCGGAACTTGTCATAAAGTTAGTGATAACAAGGCCCGCCCATTTGGAGGAAAGATATTCACACATGTTTTCCATGAATGTATGCACACCGGCGACTGTCCGCGGATCCTGACTCCGGGCACTGTTCATAATCCTGCCACGCCACAGAGCGCCTCAGCGCCACTCACATCATTTTCCATTAAATTACATTATATTTGTCCCAAATTATTGTTAATGTACATGATGACTTCATCCTAGGTTGGAAGATTGTGTATTGTGCATTTTTCAGCAAAACGTTTGTCTTTCTGTGGTTGTAATCAATTCCGTGATTCATTGTGCTATAGATCGCAATTTCTCATCCCGTTTGCTGACGCGACGCGTTCAGTGTGTGATACGTGTTGCCTCGGGGCACCACTGTGCTTCTCGTCCGATGTGCGACCGCAACAAAACAGCACAGCGAGAGTGACTGATATTACCAAAATAAAACAGCTAAATTTAAGTCAAATGCAAATCCTCATTACAAATGCATCACACAATATTTGCACTTCAGCGGGCAAAACGTACAGACACTCCCTCCCATCACACAAAACCAACAAATGTAATGTGTTTAAGACAACACATCATGACAGCACTGACACAAAACAAATTAGCGACAGACACTTCATGACAAACAAGCAGTGTTTATATTAAATAATATTATTATTGGTACAGCGGCCTAGTAAATGTCCTCACTTACGTTATTTGCGCTTCCATCGTGACGTGAATAATAGCTAGTTAGTTTATCAGCGTATATATTTTTTTCAGAGAAATCCCCACAGCGGGCGGAACTTAAAGTCATAAAGTTAGTGATAACAAGGCCCGCCCATTTAGAGGAAAGATATGATTGGTCAATTTTTCTGTCATTCGAAATTACTCCCCCATTGATTTACTATTGCTTGGCCCTCTGTAATTTCATAGCTGGACCACGAATCACAGAGCCGCAAACGCTAGGCGGAAACATTCTATGGAGAAAATGGGCGGAGTTCATAAGTCCATTTGCAGATTTGAAGAGGTTGTTTTTTTTTCCACAGAAGTTGTATTTATTTTATTTAGATGATGTTTGTCAAATTATGAATTGCTTAAATAAAATTACTAATAATTCTTTTTTATTAAAAATATTATATTTTAAAACAATTATTTAAAAATTGTAAATATAGTTTTTTTACAATAAGTTAGGCCTAGAGGGCTCTGACAGTTCCCCACTGATATATATATATATATATATTTACATACAGTGGTGGCCAACATTATTAGAACAGGACACTAGTATTTTCACCAGCTAAAAATGGTTTTAAGTCTATCTTTATTTTTTATTAAAGTTATTTCTATCTTTTGCTGTAGTGTGTCAGTCGGAAATATCAGTTTACATTTCCAAACATTCATTTTGCCATTAATTGTAATAATCCATTGAGATTTTGACAGCAGCCAGTGCTCCACACAGAGATCTGATCTGATCATCATCCAGTCTGTCTGGAATGACATGAAGAAACAGAACAAACTGAGACAGACTCAATCCAGAAGAACTGTGGCAACATCTCCAAGATGCTTCAAGAAACCTACCTGTAAAACTATGCGCAAGTGCACCTTGGGCAAAAACTGCTTTAACCACAAAGGATGGTCACACCAAATGTTGATTTTATTTAGTTATAGAAGAAAGTTAGGAAATAGTTAAGAAAATTTATTTATATATTATTTTTGACAGCATCCTCATTTTACAGCATTTTTACACAAGTGCCTAAAACTTTTAACAGTACTGTAGCTTTACAGGTGGGTTTCTTGAAGCATCTAGGAAATCTGGGGCCTCATGTATAAACGTTGCGTATGCACAAAATGGGCCTAGAAATGTGTGTCGCAATTTTCCACGCACATATTGGGATTTATAAAAAAGAAACTAGATATTTATATTATTACACATATTTATAGTAATTACACATATTGAGCGAAATAACGAAGCAAACAGAATGATTTTAAAGTCTGTTTTACATTTGACATACACATTTAGATTAAATATGACACTGAATAGTGAAGTTAAGCACTGAAATTTCATGAAATCATTATCCAGAAATTACAACATTTTTATATGAATTTAAACATAAATATTTGTAGTGGATGTGCTGCTTTCGAACAATTTTCCTGTGGTATGCTGTGTTTTAATGTTTTAATCACAGCAAGGATTGCTTGGCGCTTGACAATTCCGCTTTAAATTGTGTTCTAAATAGCAAAACTCATGTTCTGAGAAAATATTTTTGCACGAGTGATGATTATTGATTTGAACTTGACTTCGTCTGACGGCTTTGGAACATAGACGGTAATGACAGACATAAGGATGCGCTTGTTGATCAAACAGTCCATTGGCTGGTTTGAACAGGTCCGATGACAGTAGAACCTCTGTTCACAGTTGTCGCGCACAGACAGTAGCCTAATGATAACCCCTTTCATGCTCTTCCCATTATTGTGACAAACACCAAAGGATTTTAAAGATAGAATTTGAAGGAAACAAATATATGCTCGTTTTATTTTCACAATGTTTTGTTATTGGCTCGGTGAGTCAGACAGTTATTTACACTGCAAAAAAATAAGGCCTATCTGTTTCCATTAAAAACTATTCTAAAATATATGTTTACCTTATAGGCAAAATTGCATACATTTGATTTGTTTAAAACAATTTAAAATACTATTTGGCCAGTGGAAAAGAATGAGAACAACTCTGAAAACTTTCTCTGAAATTTATTTTCAAGGACACTGAATAGCAATGTGATGTCTCAAAAAAGCATTTTTAGGCCTGGTTTCATAGACAGGTCTTAGCCTAAGCCAGAATTAGGCCATAGTTCAGTTAGGACTTTTAAGTAATTTTTATAAACATGCCTTAGAAAAAAGCATTACTGGTGTGCATCTTAAGACAAAACAAAGGCACTGACATGTTTTAAGATCAGTCAGTGCAAGTTTCTTTCAGTTGAAACAGCTCAGATATACATTTTAGTCTAGGACTAGGCTTAATCCTTGTCTGTGAAACCGGGGGATAGTCCGTATCTCCTATTTTCCTAACGTATTGTACCCTTAACTGCTTTAAACATGGTGTCACATGGATGGAATATGCATATGATATGCAGATGACGTTATGCATAGTAAAACTAGGCGTTGTAAGCTCCATATATTTCGGGGAGGAGATGGGGTGGAGATTCGTGTGTGTGTGTGTGTATATATATATATATATATATACAGTATGTATATAAATTGTGTGATGCAGGCCAGCTGTCTTTGATATTACCTAATTATTTTTAAATATATGATGGTGTTAACAAGCAGGGATAAACCTATGAAATAGTTTAAAAGAGGCATATTTTAAAATTAACATCTGTCAGGACAGCAATAATGTTTCTTTATACAATATATTTGTATTTCTGTAAAGTGTAATTTTTGCAGAATATTGAGTAATTTTAGCAGTAGTGAGCGATATCTTAAGCAACATATCGCAGATATATTTCAATAAAATAAGAATAAAATGAAATGGAAAAGTACCTTTGTGTTTCAAAGTGGAAATGCTGCTATTTTAAAAAGTAATGGCAGGCAAATTTGTGGGAAATATTTTGTCCCATGCCCCATAAATCACAGCCCAACCTGTTCAAATATTTGTGTCACCTGAACTTGATGGTTGAAAGGGTAACACTTACTCAATTAGCAGTTCACGAAAGATCTTTTTTCTTTCTCCTTTGTTTCTTGTAGGTAAATCTGACAGAGTTAAAGACGTTCCCGAATCCCCCCGAGGCTGTGATTAACGTCACCGCGGCTGTGATGGTGCTGCTGGCTCCATGTGGGCGAATTCCAAGAGACCGCGGGTGGAAGGCCGCCAGAGTCTTCATGGGAAAGGTAAAGGCATTGCTATGACAACAACACGCCTCATTCTAGTGTAATCCACAAGCAGCCCTTGAACCGCAGACCCCACTAACCCGGTGTAGTGTCATGAATACACTACATTATGAAAGCACTTGTGTGGAAGAGAATATTAAATACATGTCACATGAGATAGACATGGAAATATTAGGGAAAGGCTGATTTATGAGGTCAGCATGAAGGGGAGGAGATGGCTTTTGAAAGTTTGTTGTATGATATATCGGATGGATAAAGAATTGAGATGCAAATATAGAGGTTGCAAGTTGAGTCCTAAAGTAGTGATGACCCAGGAACGCAAAAGGTCATAATTGTGCTTTATTACTTCGTGGGTTGTTCCAGGTCCAGCATTTGTACATTTACTGTACTTTAAGCTGCTATGAATAAAATGTGTGCAATTTCGTATGTACTTAACATTTTGCGTGTACATAATAAAGCATCATAGCTAATAATGTCTAATAATAAGCTAATAATATTAGTTTCCTCTAAATTGTTATTTTTTCTCTAAACTAGTTTTGCATTTTTGTTCCTAAATGCACTGAAATATCTACTCTACAGTTCAAAATATTGGGGTCAGGAAGATTTTTTTATTTTTTTATTAATACATTTATTCAGCAAGGACACATTGAATGGATCAAAATTGACAGTAAATACGTTTATAATGTTAAAAATATTTATATTGTAAAATAAATGCTGTTCTTTGAAACTTTATATATTCATAAAAGAATACTTAACAAATATATATTAAAAAAAATAATTTAATCACCAAGGCTGCATTAATTTGCTCCAAAATACTGCAAAAACAGTTATATTAAACAGCAAAAGTAATAAGATATTAAGCCTTTGTAGCATTATAAATGTCTTTATTGTCACTTTTGATAAATTGAATGTGTCCTTGCTGAATACAATTATTAATTGCTGTAACTTCTTTCCAAAAAATAAAATAATTTTTCAGATAAATGCTTTTTTTTTACTTTATATTCATCAAAGAATCCTAGAAAAAAAATGCTGTTTTCAACATTGATATTAATGACAGTATGTTTCCTGAGCATCAAATTTACATATTAGAATGATTTCTGAAGAATCATGTGACACTGAAGACTGGCGTAATGAACTGCTGATAAAAGGAATAAATGTTAAAATATATTAAAATTAAAAATGGCGTTTAAAACTATTAATATATTATTAATATTAATAATGATTAATAATATTTCACAATATATAGTTATATAATATTGTTCACAGTATTATTTACTGTATTTTTGATCAATTAAATGCAGCCTTGGCGAGCATAAGAGATTTCTTTCAAAACCATTAAAGAAACCTTACCGACCCCAAACTTTTGAATGGCAGTGTATTTTATGCTTCTACAATATTTTGTACATTTTCAATAAAGGCAAACATCATAGGCTTATGTACATATGATATAATAACACTGTTGTTCTTTAGGTGGATGACTTTCTGCAGGCCCTGCTTACTTATGATAAAGAGCACATCCCTGAGTCCAGTCTGAGTGTGCTGAAGCAGGAATACCTGAGAAACCCAGAGTTCCATCCCGATCACGTCCGGACCAAGTCCTACGCAGCTGCTGGCCTCTGTGCGTGGGCCATCAACATAGTGCGCTACTATGAGGTGAGGGAGAATGTGACGAATGAGACAAAAAACACATAAAAGTATTTGAAATATTAATATAATATAATGCATATATATGCGTATATAATACGGTTTGAGGTATTCAGTTCAATTAATAATATATTCTTAAAGCAATAAGCCCCAAGAAGCCGTGGTTACAGTGAATTTGTAACAGCTAAGGGGCGTTGTTAGGCACGACGTGAAGCAGAGTGCCTAAAACCCCCTTAGCTGTTATAAATTTACTGTAAACCACAGCTTCACGGGGCTTATTGCTTTTATAAAACGGTTATTCCATATATGTAGTAAGGTTTCACAGAATAAAACAGAGCAAATAAAGTGTAATGATATAAATAAAAATAAAAACAATATTCTTCCACCAAACAATGTAGTTCCTCAAACAGTTGTGGTTCCAACAAAGTGGTTGCCGAGCAACACACAGAAGTAAACAAAGGTGCATGTTTGTAGTGTAATTTACAACAGCTTCGAACGCGGCTCAACCAATCGGAATCAAGGACCAGAACTTTCCGTTTTATAAATACATTTTTATAACATTTTAAAATTGGTTAATAAGAAAAATCTAACTTTCTAATAAAGAATTATAAAAATAATCAAAAAATATCTTTGGGACATATTTTGAAAATGTTAACCACTACCTTTCTTTAAGTGGTTTTCAGCTTTAAAATGACAAACAATCATTTAATTCAAGAATTTATTTTCATTTATTTATTTTACTTAGATTTTTGTTTATATCTGAAATTTGAATGGAATTTAAATTGTATTTAAATTTTTATTTACATTTATTTTATTAACGCCAATTAAACTTTAATAACATTAATAAATAAAAAAGCTAAATATTACTTCTAACTTAAAAAAATGCATGTGAAATGTTTTGAAAATATTAAGCTGTAACTTTCTTTAAGTCAAAGAGGTTTGTAGCTTTAAAATCAAAACAATCATTTATTTCAAAAATTAATCTTTTTGTTTTATGTGTAAAGAAAGAGAATGTTTGTTTTGTTTTTCAGGTTTATTGTGAGGTTGCACCAAAGCGTCTGGCTCTGGCACAAGCCAATACTGAACTGGAAACTGCTACTGCAAAACTACTCAGTGTTAGAAAGAAACTGGAAGTAAGTGAAACATTTTTATACAGCACGATTAAAAAAAATGTCCATCTGTTCACCATAACCATTCAATAATATTCCATATTACGATATAAAGTAGTACTATCTCATAGTGGCTTTGTACTGACAGGATCTGGACAGGCACCTGCAAAGCCTAACAGCTCAGTTTGAGAGGGCGGCGGCTGAGAAACTGCACTGCCAGGAGGAAGTGACACGCACCAGCCAGACCATTGAGCTGGCCAATCGGCTGGTGGGAGGCCTGCAGGTACTGGGCGGCTGTGAGAGGAGAGGGTCTGGGTTTAGGGAAGCGCACTAACAGACCTAATCTCAACATGAGTTTGGCTTGATTTGAAGGGGAGGTGGCCATGGCTTAAATGTTTGGCCAGACGCTCAGATTGAGTGCTCGGAAGGAAGGGGCGCACCACGGCAAATGCACCATTGATCTGGGCAAGGGGCTAGATGGCTGTAGGCCAGTTCGGGACAGCGAAACAAGAAGGGCATATATTCATCTGCTATCTGTTTTCCTGAATGAGGCGATCAGGGTAATTGGTTTATGAGGGATGAGCTGGATTTGTGTGCACATGCCCAACTTGAAAAAATAAACTTTAAGTAGTTTTCCCTTTTTCATTGGTCATTTATATCCCGGTGAGATTATCTAAAATCTTTACCGCCGTTAATGCAAAAAATAATAATAGCGTAATGTTTCTTTTAGCGCTTTTATTTAAAATGTTCGACTTTCTTATTCAGAGAAATGAATAGGGCTACAATGGGACAGCTTGGCTTTTAAAAATATCAAGACAAATGATTTGTCTTTATGCCATTGACCTGGAAGCAATAGTGTTTAGACTAATAAATCAGGCCGTCTATATGTAATCATTAACTTACCTCAAAGCCTTAACAGCTGTTGGAAATTAAAAACGCTTCACCCAGGACTGAGTGATATTCCAAGCAATCCATAATGCATTAGGCTAAAATTATAGTGATTTTTAACTGTCTGAGAATTTATTATGCGACATGTTCTAGAAGCTCGGCCCCTGCAAAGGCAATGTCAGACAAGATTTATCGTTGCGGGAGCATCTCTGCGATATTATCGAAGTCTTAAATGAGTGCTAAATTGATGCTGAGTGAAAATGTAACTAAACTTTCAAAGCCAGTTTAGGTGAATTGTGACTGTATACATTATCGCTCATGTTCTGTCTGTGTTTATGATCAATTGGGAGGAGAGAGACAGCGGATGGGTTTAGAGTGAGGTTTATATCTGGGTCTGAAGGCATAACTTTAAGTGTTTCTTCTCTTTCTGTCTCAGTCGTTTTGTCTGAATATTACTGTGTCGTATTTGCATATAAATGTACACTACCGTTTAATACTTAGGGTTGATAAGTTTTTTAATGTTTTTGAAGTCTCTAATGCTCACCAAGGCTGCATTTATTTGATCACAAATACAGTAAAAACACAAATATTGTGAAATATTATTACAGTTTAAAATAACTGTTTTCTATTTTAAAATATAGTTTATTCCTGATAGAAAAAGTTGAATTTCAAGCAGCCATTACTCCAGTCTTCAGTGTCATGTGATCTTTGAAAAATCTGATTTGGTACTCAAACATTTTTTACTATTATTAATACACAAAATACTCAACTGTGTTGCCTAATATATTTGTAGAAACTGTGATATTCTTCATATTTCTTTTATGAATAGAAAGTTCTTTAAAGGGGTCATCGGATGCAAAATTCACTTTTACATGTTGTTTGAACTGATGTCTTGGCAGTGTGTGTACACAACCACCCTATAATGATAAAAATCCACCTAGTGTTTTTTTTTTAAATCTCGATAAATTCAAACCCCTTTCTAAAATCATTCCTGGCTGTGTGATGTCACACTGGCAGGCCCCTCCCACGATAGTTGATTGACACTGGCGTTTCAGCAAAGACCCGCCCTGAGTGAGCTGTGAACAGTCCGCCATTGTTTAGATGCCAGAGCAGGTGTAGACATGAATGCCTTGTAAGCGATTGAGGTGTTTTGTTGTTGGATGTAATAATGAACATAGCAGTCGTCATTTACTCCCGACATCTGAGCCGCTGAAGACGCAGTGAATTACTTATGTTTTTGAAGGAAATGCACCCCCCGATCGACCTAAATGTGTCTATGTTCGTGCGAATCATTCGTGATCCAGCTTCACCTACAGAAGAAGTGAGTATAAGGTTTTTTAAAGGGGTCATATGATGTTGCTAAAAAGAACATTATTTTGTGTATTTGGTGTAATGAAATGTGTTTATGCGGTTTAAGGTAAAAAAAAAACATTATTTTCCACATACTGTACATTATTGTTTCTCCTCTATGCCCCACCTTTCTGAAGCTATAAAATACATAATATATAATTGATATAAAATAAAATTACTGTGTAAGAGTAATGAAAATTGATAAAGTAAAACATCTGATTGTTATAAAAATATTAAATGAAAAAGAAAATGTTTTTGTACACAAAAGCCACACTTACAACATCTGAATTTCATTGCATTAGATACTGTACAAAATACCAAACCAAGTGACTTCTGCAAACAAATGGCTTAAGCTTTTCTAAACGTCAACGGCATTCATAGATATCATAGATCTTTAAGTGTGTGATCATTTTTGGAGCCATAGTCACCTGGGCAGGTTTAAAGGGGTCATATGATGCTATTTTAAAGATCATTATTTTGTGTATTTGGTGTAACAGAATATGTTGACATGCTTTAATGTTCAAAAAACACATAATTTTTCAAATACTGTACATTATTGTAGGTCCTCTATGCCCCGCCTCTCTCAAACTTGAGACTTTAGTCTTTGCAACTTTACAGATCTTCTTTATGCACCAAGAGCTTGTAACACTCCAAAGAGAAAGGAAAACTTGAAATCGCATCATATGACCCCTTTTAGTTAGATTCACCCAGACATTTTCTCACTGTAGGCAGAAAACGTGCGTTGGTCGGAGGGACAGCTGGAGCTGGAGTCTCAGCTGAAGACTGTGTGTGGTGATGTGCTTGTGGCTGCTGCTTTAGTCTCTTACGCTGGATACTTCACACAGCCGTATCGTCACCAACTCCTTCACGACATACTCATTCCTTTCCTCCGAGAACTCCAAGTATGATTCCTGCTCAGCCTGTCCATTATTTGATTTATATAGTGTTTTGCATTTATGTAATTCTTAGCCACATGAATATTTTATTTAATACAAATTTGATGTTAAATTTCATGTTACGGCTTTTGCCAACTCTTGTTTCAGTTGTCAAGGTTAAGAGTGTTTTGGATCATTGTTTCTTCCTGAGCTGTCTACTGTAAAATCCTGTTACTGTACTACTGTGTCTGCACTCCAGTGGAGCGTTGAATTGAATAGCATCACTGCCTGTCTTCCTCTCCTCACACCTCGCGATCCAGACCCCTATCCCGCTGACAGACGGTCTGGACCCTGTACTTACGCTGACTGACCAGGCCACCGTGGCAGGCTGGCAGAACCAGGGCCTGCCAGCTGATCGGCTGTCCGTTGAAAATGCAGCCATCCTGATGGCCAGCCAGCGCTGGCCTCTGATCGTGGATCCTCAGCAGCAGGCCACCAAGTGGATCCGAAATCTGTACGGGCCCAACCTGAGGGTGCTGCAGTATGGCCAGAAAGGGTGAAGTGATTTTAGTTGGGACAAAGATTATTTATATGAAATAATATAAAGAAGGCAATGAGGCTGACTTGTCTTGTCCTGGACTGTTAATGTTATCATACAGGTATCTGGATGTTATTGAGCAGGCTTTGGCTGCTGGTGAGGTGGTCCTGATTGAAAACATGAAGGAGAGAGTGGACCCTCTTCTGGAGCCACTGCTAGGAAGGCAAACCTTAAAGAAAGGAAGGCAGGTTTAACCATCTCCGTGATTTTTACTTATTTTATACCACTGATTCTCTCATTGAGTGTATTGCAGTAAAAATTGCTCAGAAAAATGCAGCATATTTTAGCATACAATCTTTACTGAGCTCTTAAGAGCCCCATTTTTTGCTCAGTTTTCAGTATGAGAACTAGAATGGAAGATGAATTAGGGTTGTGTGATTTGAATAGAGGTGAAGGCAGCGGTATTGATTCTGCACTCACAGAAGCTGATATAATTTTTTTTAATCAGTTAGATTATTTAATCTCAGTTTTTCTTTTTTCTTTTTTTACAGTACAGACAATAATATGGGGTCTTTGTTCTGTTTTTTTGTAGGTTTTTGTTTCTGAATCTGAATGAAAACTAACTAGAAAACTAAATTATATCTATATAATATAATTATTTGGTTTCTGTTTTCTTGTTTTGTACTACAAAAGTGGAAAAAAAACTATGCCAACACTGTTACCAAAAACCTATTATTTTTAATAAACTTTGATTAAAAATATTTTATTTACGCTCCGTTTTCTCTCAATCTGAACAAAGTTGAGCTAAACCAGTTTGTCACTAGAGAGATCGTAGTCTAAAATATTTATAAATCAGTAATGTCTCAATTTTACTGAATGAGTAAACATTTTCAGATTTCTCAATGAATGTCTATGCATTTGGGTTGCTTGATAAAGTGTACATGAATAGTAGAAGCTATTGTTAACTTCACATTTATATTCTTCAACAGAATAATTAAAATAATCAGTGTTTATCAGGTATTTCTAGGATGTGTGAATAGATGCAACACCTCATCTGTTATTCTTGTTTTTCCAGCGTGCGGAGTTATTAATTTCTCAGCTCTTATTTATCTCCTTCTAGTCTTTTGTCCTTGTAGCATTGTACCATGGGGACACCTACATTCCCCTTCTTTTGACCCATAACTGTGGCCCGATGTTTAATTTGATTACAAGTTTATTCCAGCGCCTGACCCACGCACCGGTCCGTTCCTGTGATTAATCCGGCCCGGCCACGGCAGCCATGATGGATCTGGTGCGGTTTCTCGGCTGAAGTTCATTAATAATTGGAATGTTGCAGAGTGTGAAGTAATGAATACTAATTATTCCTTTCATGTCTGACGGAGGAGCATGAGCCAATCCATCAGCTGGGACTTTAATTTGGTGAAGTAATGGTTCTATCAATAGTACATTAATTCCATCTTTTGAAGAAATAGAGCCGGAGCGGACCTGGGCCTTGGCGAAACCTTTGGCATGAGAGTTGTTGCCGCTGGCTGACAGGCACAGGGTAATTAGGGAAAAATTAAAAGCCGCCACTTTGGCCAGCCAGCCTTGATTTAATTGAAATGCAGATTGGGATAAATATTGGCTGCTGGGAATATCATCTTCCAGTTTTATTTAATGCCTTTGCCTGTGGTGGCTATTGGGAGCATTAGTCATGCTTTTCTGTTTGCTTCAATTAGATATGTTGGTGAAACTGGTGTCTAGTACGGGTGGAATGCTCTTTCCGGCTCTTTGCGTAGATGGCAAGCTTTTTTCACAGAGCGCTGTTTAGTATCATTTAGTGTAGTCACATTCTGAATTCATAACACAGTGTGGTGTTTCTACAGGTACATCAGACTGGGTGATAAGGAGTGTGAGTATAACAGCGGTTTCCATCTCTTGCTACACACTAAGCAAGCCAACCCTCACTTCCCCCCGGAGCTGCAGGCCCAGACCACACTTATAAACTTCACAGTGACCCGCGCTGGCCTGGAGGAGCAGCTACTAGGCGAGGTGGTCACGCATGAAAGGCCTGAGCTGGAGACGATGAAGGTCAGTTACAGACGTTTCTCATAATGATCTCATATTATATAAAGAGCTAAATAAATTAGATTTGCATTTCCCAAAGGCAATAAAAACATTTTTAAGTCCTACCTCTCTATCGCAAGCAGTTTGTTGTGATGGGTGGTTGCAGGTCTGAGGTCGGTGTGGTGCACTCTAGTGTTCCCCAGGGATCAGTTTTGGGCCCTTTACTTTTTAGTGTTTACATTTTTCCATTTGGCCAACTTTTAAGAACACTTGGTCTTAACTTTCACTTTTATGCCGATGACATTCAGATCTACATACATTCAAAACCTGATGTCAATATGCCTGTGTCTTTTCTTTCTCAATGTTTTACTGAGATTAAAAAATGGATGTCTGAAACTTTCTCTGTCTAAACAGTGACAAGACTGAAGTGATGCTTATTGGTTCACCTCAACAGTTGCACAAAGCAGAGTCCGTAACCTTAAGTGTGGATGGCTCTGCTTTACAGTTTCAAACTAAACAAAAAAATCTGGGGGTGATATTTGACGCCAATTTGATCCGCATGTTCGTAATACAGTCAAAGCATCTTTTTTTCATCTCAGAAACATTGCCAAATTACGTCCCATGTTGACTTTTTCTGTGGCTGAAAAATTAATCAACACTTTTGTTTTTTCACGTATTGATTATTGTAATGCTTTGCTGGCTGCAGTTTCAAAAGCTACCCTAAGTGAATTACAGTTGGAACTTGGTACAAAATTCAGCTGCTAGAATTCTGACTAGGACCAGTGCAAGGGAGCACATCACACTTATCTTGGAAAAAATGTCACTGGCTTCCTGTTAGTTTTCGTATTGATTTTAAAATTATCATGCTCACTTATAAGGCCTTGAATAATTTGGCTTCTCAATATTTGTGGGAGCTTTTAACCCCCTACACCCCTACACGTGTTCTATGCTCTTCTGAAGCTGGTCTTTTAACTGTTCAAACAACTCGGCTAAAAACTATGGGTGGTCGGGCTTTCTCTTCTTTGGCTCCTAAATTGTGGAATGAATTCCCTGCTGAGATTAGGAATGCAGAATCCCTTAGTGTTTTTAAATCGTCCCTTAAAACTTACTTTTTTAGGGTAGCTTTTATGTGATTTATGTGATTACTTTGTTTTTTATTATATTGGCTTTGTATTGTTTGGTTGGTTCTTTACTGCCTGTACTGTTTTAAAGGCGCTATATAAAATAAAGTTTATTAGAATAGTGCGAACGTTTTTGGTCATGGTTACAACTTTGCAAGGAAGAAAAGACCAGAAAGAAAAGACGGGAGATTCATAAACGGGAGATTTTCAAACTTGAATCTTAACTTTTTATTTTAAACTTTTCTGAAAAAATAAAAATGTAAATAAATAAATAAAAGCATGCAATGCAATATTTGTGAATGTCCCCATTTTTTATTAATTTTATTACGCTGTTTTATGTATTTGTCCTATTTAATACTAAATTCAATCTCAAAAATGTAATTTAATAAGACAACTGTCCTTACAATGTCTATTTTTGATTGCTTCAGTTGGAATTAAGCACCCAGCAGAACTTGTGTCAGATTGAGCTGAAGAGACTAGAGGATGAGCTGCTGAGCAAACTGTCAGCAGCAGAGGGAAATTTCCTGCGAGATACAGCCTTAGTGGAACAGCTAGAATATACTAAGAATACAGCCAGACACATCCATAACAAGGTATGGTCCAAACTGTCCATTTACCTAATGTTGTTGTTGCTTGCTCAGATCTTTTTTTTGCATTGTTTGTGCAAGATGGACTCAAAACCAATGTGTGTTTGTTAAAAAAAAACTAATATGGAAATACAATAAACTGGAAAATGTAATTACAACACTGAAATAAGAAAAGAAAATCAGCGTTCATTCCAATAGCATGCTATAGTAAAGTGTATAATCATGATTCTTCTAAGAATTAGTATCTGATTGTATATCTCAACAATTGTGATGTTTACGCAGGCTGTTGCAGCTCGAGAGAATGAGATAAAGACCAATGATGCGCGAGATCTTTACCGGCCAGCGGCTGAGAGAGCTGCCCTACTATACTTCACTATTAAAGAGCTCCACAACATTAACCCCATGTACCAATACTCCCTCAAGGTAACACACTATACTGGAAAAAGTGAAAATGTGTAGTTGTTGCCCTGAGTATTTACTACACAGTATCTACATTACCATTCAAAAGTTTGGCGTTGGTAAGATTTTTTTTTTTTTTATTGTTTTGAGTCTCTTATACTCACCATAGCTGCATTTAATTGATCAAAAAACATAGAAAAACTGTAATATTGTGAAATATTATTGCAATGTAAAATATTGTTTTCTAAATATATTTTAAAATGTCATTTATTTCAGTGACAAAGCTGAAATTTCAACAGCCATTACTCTAGTCTTCAGTATCACATGATCCTTCAGAAATCATTCTAATATGCTGATTTGGAAATGTTTATTCTCATTATCAATGTAATTTTCCAGATTTTTGATGCATAGAAAAGTTCAAAAGAACAGCATTTATTTTAAATATAAGTTGGTTTGTAACCATTTCAAACCATCTTTACTGTTACTTTTGATCAATTAATGCATCCTTGTTGAAAACAAAAATTACTGACCTTAAACTTTTGAACTTTTGACTTGTTTATTTAAAAAATTATATTTTTGCTGTAACAATATTAGAGCCCGACCGATATATCGTTTTGCCGATATTATCGGCCGATATGAGCCTGTCGCCGATATATCGGTATCGGACGAATACGCCGCCGATATGAACATTTTTTTTACAGAACATATAACACAGATAAAATGCTTGAAATGGTGTAATTACTTAGTTTGTCCAGCAGATAGCACGCTCTATTGTTTGCTACTGGCGACCTGGATGAAACGCTTTAAAGCTTAAATCTATGGAAAACCATTGAAACTTTGAACGGCCATATCTCCGTAACGGCGCAGCGATAACGCAGATAAAATGCTTGAAATGGTGTAATTACTTAGTTTGTCCAGCAGACCGCGCTCCATTGTTTGCTACTGGAGACCTGGATGAAACACTTTAAAGCTTAATCCGCACCAAATTCGCGGGATCCCTTCAGCTCGAGGAACCCTCTCGAATTCGAATCGATTGTACGTCTAGAGGCCAGCTTTCGAATGAGACCACTGCCGCGTTGATAGCCCCCGGGTTCCAGGAGTTACGGATGGTTAAATTCGCAGTCCGGCGCCGACCGATCAAGCGATCCCGGGGGGCTACCGACGCGTGGAGGGTGGCGTTCGATAGGGCTCCTCGAGCTGAAGGGATCCCCCGAATTTGGTGGAGATACGCCAGCGCTTTCACGAGATAGTGACACCAGTCAACACTTTCACTTCAGTAAGGAGGTCTCTTGTTCAGGCAGCAGCATTCAAGCGTGGTCTTATTCGACCGTAAGTGCCCTGCGAAGTGGACTTCACATGAAATTCCGCCATGATTCCAGTTCCAAGGGAACGTTTGAATTGAATTAAAGTTGAATAAACTTCAACTTTACTGTTCAGTGCACTGTCAGACTCATTTTTGATAATAAAGTTGATTGTTAAATTGTTAAATGCCCTGTCTCCATTACGTATCTCTGTCACGTCATTATAAGTGTTTTATCACCACATTTGAGTGATCATTGCAAAAAATGTGTTTATGTATATACTGTATATTCTGTTTATGTATATACTGTATTCTACTGTATATATAGTACCAGTCAAATGTTTGGACACACGAATGGGAAAGTGTCCAAACTTTTGACTGGTACTGTACTATAATATACACAAAGAATATTGGCCGATATATCGATGTTTTTTACTCCCTAATATCGGTATCGGTATCGGCCCCAAAAAACCCATATCGGTCGGGCTCTAAACAATATATTTTGATTCAATCATATTAAACTATATTTTGGCCTAAATAAAACATGTTAATTTACTTTAAAAACCATAAAATCAAGTTGTGCTTGATTGTACATGTACAAGTACTCTTTCATTATTTAAAAAACAAAAAAAAACAAAACAGCGACATCATAATCCCAGTAATATAAATATAATATCATATCACCATTGGAAGGAATTCCAGTATACTATTGGGCACAATCCATTAGCATTGCCATTCATCTCAATGACAGTTGCAGAAATGCTGTATCTTTGCTTTTCCAAATAATGCTATTATTTCAGCTCAACTGAACTTTATTTTACATTTAAGGCCTTCAACAAAGTGTTCCTCAAAGCCATTGCGAGAGCTCCTGGTGATGAAGACGTATCAGTGCGTGTTTTATCTCTCACTGAGGCCATCACCCACTCGGCCCTTCAGTACACCTGCCAGGGGCTCTTCCAGAGGGACCGACTCACCTTCCTCACCCACACCGCCCTCCAGGTGAGTGGGACGGGACACCGGCAGAATAGAAACACCTCCCATCCACCCACCACCACCTCCTCTCTTCCTCCTCCTGCACTTTGTCATTCACATCAATCACTCCACTTTTCTGCCCTTACATTAAGTTCCATTAGGCCCTGTCAGTGGAGTCGGGTCCGCTCCTATTGATTAACTCTCACAGCCCGGGCACCCCTCTCCCTCAACCGGTCAGCTCTGACAGGAGGGTGGGCCGCAGTGGCAGAATGCAAATACCTGTCAGGACAGCACCTGTTTTCCCTGCTGCTGTCTGTCTCCACTGCCTGTCCTTCACACGTCCACATCAAACGGAGTAAAGCTGTTCTGAGATCCGCTTGTCCTTCTCTGATGGATGGAGACATCTGTATTCAACAGACCTGAGCTCTAATGTCCTCATTACTTTGCGCCTCTGGTGTTTTATTTAGATTCTTCTGACAAGGGGCTTCATTGAGGCTCAGGACCTGGAACTTCTGCTGCGATTTCCGGTAGAGGTTTGTCAGAGCAGTCCCGTCTGCTTCCTGTCTCCACAGGCCTGGGGTGCCATTAGGGTAAGAACTGCCTGTGCCTGGAAATCACTCTCTTTCATGTGTAAAGATGTCATTAAGCATTGCCATTTAGAAAATGATTAGTCTGAAGCACCTTTTCAACCTCTAAATAAGTCAACCCATCTAGCCCAGGGGTGTTTGAAATGTGAAGGACCCCCAAATATATGTGACCCCTTTCCTAAAATATAAAGGCGGCTACATTTATACTCTGATATTATAAAGACAGTGTGTTCTGTCCTAAATTGAAATGCCTTTTATTTGGTCATTGCTCTAGATTATTAAAATATTATATGGAAAATACTTGTTTTCTTATTTTGTATTAAGAATATATTGTCATTTTAACCACTATCAATTGTATAGTATAAATGTAATAATATAAAATTAAACATAAATATAATATAAACTAGTGCTGGGCAACGATTGATCATTCGTTATAAACAAACTATATAAAATTGTATTTTAGTTTTTTACAATAAATAATTTTAGACAGTCTTAAGAAAGCAGATTAAAACAGTAATAATTTGTTGTAAATTAAATCAAGTTCTGTGAATGTAATACAATTATTTTTATCATTTATTTATTCATTTACATTATTTATTTCATCTAAATAATATATTGTTAAAATATGTTGCATATATAAAATTAGTATTATATAATATGTATGAATATGCAACATTTTAAATTGATTTTAAAATTGATTCTAATCATTTTAACAGATTAACTTTTACATCCCTAAAAACAATTGTTTTTTTTTTGGCCTTGCAATTCTATTGGGGTCTCTGGAAACTACATTTGAGTTTAAAATCTAGATCTAGATCTACTCAAAAAGTAAGTTATTTTTTAATCTAAAAGTAGCATATGGGTTTGAAAATAAGGATAAGTAAATAATAATTTAGAATTTAAATAAGATTTCACAAGATTGTGAATATTCATAGAAAATATTTGGAGGATATAAGAATTTAAGAGGATTTTAATAAATCTTTAAAGACTCATCTTTTTAAAACTGCTTACTGTAATTATGTTTTATATTGTTTATTTTTTGTGTTGCTTATTGTTGTATACTATTATGCTTGTTGTTGTAGCACTTTGGGTTAAGAAAAGTGCATGATAGATAAAATGCATTATTATTATTATTATATATGCTATTAATATCATTATTATTAAATATAATAGTTAAGTGTTTTATAAAAATATTTTTGAAGATTGATCCTTTTTTTCACCTAAGTACCAAACCTAAAACCTAATTTCATTGCAGAGCTTGTCCATGCTGGATGCATTCACGGGTCTGGACAGGGATGTGGAAGGTTCTGGCAAACGCTGGAGGAAGCTGGTGGAGTCAGAGTGTCCAGAAAGAGAACGTCTCCCTCAGGACTGGAAGAATAAGAGTCCCCTCCAGAGACTCATCATTCTCAGAGCCTTTCGGCCTGACAGGATGACCTACGCTCTCCGGTAATGAGCATTCTTCAGAGAACCATCAGAGAACAACCGATATCTGTCTAAAATTTTACTTTAAAATCAGCTGGAGGTGGCTGGGTTTGAAACACCAATGTTTTTTTACCAATTGTCTTTTTACACCAGAAATTTTATTGAGGACAGTTTGGGCTCCAAGTATGTAGATGTCAGTCGAATGGAGCTTGAAAAGTGTTTTGAGGAGTGCAATCCCTCTACACCGGTGTTCTTCATCCTTTCTCCTGGAGTCAACCCCATCAAGGATGTAGAAACACTTGGTAAACACAGAATCTCTTTACACTTAGCCTAACTTGTAACATAATCAGAGTATTAAACTTATATCTATTAACTAGGGCTGAAGCTTGGATTTACCACAGACCAGGGGAACCTCCATAATGTATCCTTGGGTCAAGGACAAGAGATTGTGGCTGAGAGAGCATTGGAGACCGCAGCCAAAAAAGGACATTGGGTCATACTGCAGGTAGAACATTCTTGGTTAATTTCTTACCAAACCAACCTACAATAAAGTGTCCAAAACATGGAAAACGTTAGAAACTACAAACAGAATAAATGTCAAGTGTTACCTTGGAGAGCAGTCATTTAGAAATATAGGACCACTTAATACCAAAATTGACCAGTCAGAATAGTTTTCCAAAGGACTATTTTGCCAAAAATGCTTCTGATACATATGGATATGTGACCCTGGACCACAAAACCAGTCGTAAGTAGCACAGGTATATTTGTAGCAATAGCCAACAATACATAGTATGGGTCAAAATGATACATTTTTCTTTTATGCCAAAAATCATTAGGATATTAAGTAAAGATCATCTTGCATGAATATATTTTGTAAATTTCCTACCGTAAATATATTAAAACTCAATTTTTGATTAGTAAAATGCATTGCTAAGAACTTCATTTGGACAACTTTAAAGGCGATTTTCTCAATATTTAGATTTTTCTGCACCCTCCGATTCCAGATTTTCAAATAGTTATCTCGACCAAATATTGTCCTATCCTAACAAACCATACATCAATGGAAAACTTAATTATTCAGCTTTCAGATAAAAAAAAAAGACCCTATGACTGGTATTGTTCTCTAGGGTCACATATGTATGCTCTTGTAAATTTAATTTCTGTTTCAGAATGTTCACCTGCTGGAGCGGTGGTTGGGTCGTCTGGAGGAGCTGTTGGAGAACACAGGCAGCGATGCTCACTCAAACTACTTCGTTGTGAAAGCGAAACTACTTTGTTTGGCCTTCCAAAAGAGGACACAACTAGAAATCAGTGGTTAAGTTGTATTTACAACACTGTTCCAGAACAGTTCAACCCAAATATTCAGATGTGTGCTGCGCATTTTATGGAGGATGAGTCTGAACCAGTAGCCTACACCGCGTCTGTGGCACAAACGCTGTTTCTATAAAGTGGGGCAGTTCCAACTTTGCAAGGACAGTCTGGCACGTCCTTAATTATTCAGCTTTCAGATAAAAAAAAAAGACCCTATGACTGGTATTGTTCTCTAGGGTCACATATGTATGTTCTTGTAAATTTAATTTCTGTTTCAGAATGTTCACCTGCTGGAGCGGTGGTTGGGTCGTCTGGAGGAGCTGTTGGAGAACACAGGCAGCGATGCTCACTCAAACTACAGAGTGTTTATGAGTGGAGAACCGTCCTCCAGCTCCCATGAGCACCTCATCCCTCGCACCATCCTGGAGAATGCCCTCAAACTCACTACTGAACCACCCACCGGCATGAACTCCAGCCTACATGCAGCTCTGGACAACTTCACCCAGGTCTTCACACACTTGACACAGACAAAATCAGTGAATTCACATGCGGTCCAGTCAGACATTCTATTCAGCTTACTATTAAATGGGTCATATGATGCGATTTAAATTTTTCCTTTCTCTTTGGAGTGTTACAAGCTCTTGGTACATAAAGAAGATCTGTAAAGTTGCAAAGACTAAAGTCTCAAATCCAAAGAGATATTCTTTATAAAAGTTAAGAGGATAGTTCACCCAAAAATGAAAATTCATTTCCATCACACGCTAGCGGTATTCAGCCAATCACAACACACTGTATGGCTGGCCAATCAGAGCACACCTCGCTTTTCAGAAAGGCGGGGCATAGAGGACCAACAATAATGTACATTATATGGAAAATAATGTGTTTTTTGACCCTTAAACCACATAAACACATTGCATTACACCAAATACACAAAATAATGTTCTTTTTAGCAACGTCATATGACCCCTTTAATAGAAAAAGTGGAAACTAGTAATCCTATAGAATGAGTAGAATGAAGTGACAAAAGAATGAGGTGTCCACACTTTTGACTCTTAATTTCCATTCTACAGGACACTCTGGAAATGTGTTCTCGAGAGCAGGAGTTTAAAGGACTTGTGTTCTCACTGTGTTACTTCCACGCCTGTGTGACTGAGAGGAGGAAGTTTGGGCCTCAGGGTTGGAACCACAGATACCCATTTAACAATGGAGATCTGACCATCTCTGCCAGTGTTCTGTACAACTACCTGGAGGCCAATACTAAAGTAAGAGACCAGCATTCATTAACCTGAAAAAATATAATGATTCCATCATAATATCAGTGAATTATATTTTTTTGATAAGTTAATACTTTTATTCCGCAAGGATGCATAAAACTGATCAATAATGACAGGAGCCATGTTTCCATCACCTTGTTTTTATGCACATTTTGAAGTATCACATCACACATCACAGTTTTTGATTTGTGCGAAAAAGGGTCAATTCGAAATAATGAGAGATGGAAACGCATTTGCCGAATAAATTCCTCCATGCGCATCAAAAACGTCATGTGACTTTGCGCAATGGGACGGCATAACCTGACTAACCAGCAGCCTGATCTTGTTGCACATCATCTGAAATGTTGTTATGGTCATTCTGAAATGCCTGAGCAAAGTCTGTCGTTAAAGTATTTCTGAATAAGTGCCTCCCAGAACTGTCTTACACGTCTGCGTTTCCAAACAGCTTCCACCTCCGAAAGCAATGGCTGCATTTATAGTGTTTCGTCTGCTTGCTCTGAGGCGCAAGTAATTTATTATAAATGAAAAGGATTATATTCAGTGGCTTCTCCTTCTTTTCTTAGGGATGTTTACTTTTCCCACAGTGCTGTATAATTTCATCACACAAAGCGAAGTCACGATCTCACTGTGTCCAAAAAATCATGTTTTTCCTCTCGCAGCATTACTTCACTTACAACCAATTATGGCGGCTCTAGATTTCACCCCTCCCCTCAAAAAACGAATGTCCTTCATTATGTTAACCAAACAGTAACCTGTATGTGCGTACACTGAGGATTCATTAGGCGGCAAATGAAGCGTCATGCTAAATGTAATTACACGCGTTGTGCGTGACACCTTACAACGCTTTATAAGTGATCACTGCAATTAGAGCTGATGAAAGAAGCAATTTGCAAAACAATACAGGTACAAATGATGGTGAACCTCTAGCGTCTGTCATCGGTTATAAGACACACGTTCCCTTGTTCTTCTCTCCTTTACAATTACACATCATTCGCTCTATTCTCAGGCCAGACTTAAGCCAAGCACAGCAGGAGTTCAGGAAGAGCTTGATCTTTGCTTGAATTATATATTAACTGAATTTCTTTTTGTCTGGTGTAGAGCCATTTGAAATAATAAACTCACTACAGGATGCTCCCATCACCCAACATCAGTTCCTCAACTCATACTCGTGAGAAAATCCCTGCATCCAACATCTAGCCCTTTTAGCAGTTTTCACCATGTATTTTTTTCCCTCTGTCAGAACTTGCCAACCTGGCTGAAAATAATGCTGTGGGTATTAAACGCAGGGCGCTGAGGGATCAGTTTGTGCTGGAGGTTTGACATTTAGGTGTGTTAATATGTGTGGCTCAGGTACCGTGGGAGGATCTGTGTTATCTGTTCGGAGAGATCATATACGGAGGTCACATCACTGATGAGTGGGACAGGAAGCTCTGCCGTACATACCTCCAGGAGTTCATCAATCCCAAGATGGTAAAGACATTCAGAGCACTGTAATGTACTACAACGCCGCACCAAACATAGTGGATCAAAGCACTGTTAAATCATCTGCTTTTGCTTCAAGACAGAATTCATGTACATTTTAAGGTCATACAGCTAAAAAACAAACGTTTCAGAAGTAGAATTTGAAGTTGCGCGAGCATTGGCTCAGCAAACTAAGAGATGCACACCAGTAGTTCTCAACCAGAGGGCCTCTGCAGCCTTGCTAAAAAAAGACATACTGTGCAATCAAGATATATTTTTATCCAACAATAGCTTTTGTTTTTTTATTAAAGAACATAGTCTTTAACCTTTAGAATCATAAAATGAATTGGGTTTAATTAATTTACCTAAATAGACACGCCCGCTTTGTAATAATTGCAACAGCGAGAAATCAGTGTAATTGTGAGATATTAACAGATAAGTCTTTTGCATTTCTTTTGTATTGTAGTTTTGAGATGTTGGCGTTGCACTCAAAAGTGGAGGTAGATTAATGTGAGCTTGCAGGGACAGGATTTAAAGGGATAGTTCATCCAAAAATGAAAATTCTGTCATTAATTACTCGCCCTCATGTCGTTCCAAACCCGTAAGACCTTCATTCATCTTCAGGACACAAATTAAGATATTTTTGATGAAATCTGAGAGCTTTCTGACCCTGCATAAACAGCAACACAACTACCATGTTCAAGGCACAGAAAAGTAGTAAGGACATCGTTAAAATAGTTCACAAGCAGAGGAATGCACACGCGTGTGTCGTGATACTCTCGTGAATGGCAGCAGAGACGGAGACATTTTTGTTTTCTTTGCGCACAAAAAGTATTCTTTGTAGCTTCATAAAATTAAGGTTGAACCACTGATCATGGACTGTTTTAACGATGTCCTTCCTACCTTTCTGGGCCTTGAACATGGTAGTTCACTTGCTGTCTATGGAGGGTCAGAAAGCTCTCGGATTTCATCAAAAATATCTTAATTTGTGTCCTGAAGATGAATGAAGGTCTTACGGGTTTGGAACGACATTAGAGTGAGTAATTAATGACAGAATTTTCATTTTTGGGTGAACTATCTCTTTAAGTGAACTAAATGATTGGATAAGCCCTATACACAGTACATCATCAGAGATATGTTTGTTGCTGCACCCAAAGATCGAGTTATGATATTTTGATTAAACAATACTTGGTTAAAAAAAATAATTTAAACATGGATGAATCATTCACAATAAGAAATGACATGCATTTACAAAATAGATGGGGCAGAATTTCATGTCATGTTGACTTTGTCTCACTGTGAGGTATAAAGTAGTAATTGTGAGAAATAAAGTCAGAATTACCTTTTCAAATGAGTGAAATCTGGAAAAGTCTGCAGATTTTTAGAGGTAATGTAGATTTGCAAAGAGATCTCGATTTATCTAGCCTCTTCAAGTGCTTCATTCAAGTTCTGCAGGCAGCATGTTAAAATTAGACTATAAATGTTTGTCTGTGGACCTCACACAACTACCTTTGAACAGATCAGGTTTGTACATGTAAATACTGCAGCTCTATGGGGCTCTCTAGTGGTGAGGATCTACATTGCATGACACAGTTTTCCTTGTGAGACAGTTTATAAGCACAGATAACAAAATAGAAGCTGAATGTATTAAATGTCTTTTTGTTCCCACATACTGAAGACATGTTTGTTGTGTTCAGGCCAGGGTTCTCACGTTTTATCTTATCTTAAGTGTGTCTTTTCTGGAGTGGTGTTTGTGCGAGGTAATTAAGGCAGTGGTCAGGCATGCAGCCCAGTGTTTCCTCACTGAGTCTCATTAGGCCCCAAGATGAGCAGCCATCAATCACAGAGCTTGTCTTTAGCCTTTCCACAGAGCTGCATTACTCTCCCAGTGTCCAGCACCAGCCCTGCTATCGATTACCACACACACCTTTATCCGTTACTGAGTACTCAAAGGTTTAGCATGTTACAATGCTTATCAGGACAAAATATTGTGCAGAAAAAAAAACAAGTTATCATATTTGCAACCTAAAATCCTGTTGAGTCGCTTCACTTGTTGTTGGAATCTGTCTTTTGGTTACCAGACAAGATCTTTAACCACCATGCTCACCCTTTCCAATATGAATCCCCAAAGACTGTCCTCTCATCAGCTATGAAGCATCTTCCTGTTACTCCATGATCTCTCTCTGCAGTTTGAAGGAGAGCTGTTCCTGTGTCCTGGGTTTCCAGCTCCTCCTGATCTGGAGCACACTGGGTATCACAGCTACGTGGATGAGAGATTGCCCTCGGAAAGCCCTGGTCTCTACAGCATGCACCCTAATGCTGAGATTGAGTTTATGACGGCCACTTCTGATGCCCTCTTCAAAACTTTACTGGAACTCCAGCCCAGAGACTCATCAACAGGAGAAGGAGCATCACAGTGCACAGAGGAGAAGGTAAAACTATGTATCATTGTTATTATTATTATTGTCATCATCATCATTATCAATGTTGAAAACAGCTGTGCAGCTTTTTTTTTCTGGTGGAAACAGTGACTTTTTTGAATAGTTTTTATTTGCATTATTTATCAAAGATGCATTAAAATTAATCAAAAGTGAAAGTAAAGACTGTTGAAAGTTTTTTTCAAAGCTGTATGACTTTCTTTCTGCTGTTGAACACAAAAGAAAATATTCTGAAGAATGTTGTTGCCATTGACTTCCATAGTATGGGGAAAAAAAATACTATGGAAGTCAGTGGCTACTGTCAGCTGTCTGGTTATCACCATTGTTCAAAATATCCTTTGTGTTCAGCAGAAGAAAGAAACTCGTACAGGTTTGGTACAAGTGGAGGGTGAGTAAATGATAACAGAATTTTCATTTTTGGGGGAACTATCCCTTTAATGCTTTTCTACCATTTTCTACTAGTGAATACGTTAATAAAATGTTTCTCCTATATGGCTGCAGAAAACTTTAGATTCTTTTAGAAAGCTGTATTTAGAACGTAGTCACTTTTGATACTCCATTTTTCTTTTTCCTTGCTCAGGTGAAGAGTGTTCTGGATGACATGCTGGAGAAGTTACCGGAGGAGTATAATCTGGCAGAGCTCATGTCTAAAACAGCCGAGAGGAGCCCCTACATCCTGGTGTGCCTGCAGGAGTGTGAGCGAATGAATCTGCTGCTGGCAGAGATACACAGATCATTAACAGAGCTGGACCTGGGACTGAAGGTAGGAGACAAAACAATCAATACAGATGATTACTGATTATTCAGAACCAGCTGTATTTGAATACTGCACCTGCATGGATTTCTTAAGTTTGTTTGGGGAAAACCCCCTTGAAATGTCTGAATTTTTAAAAAGTTTTTATACTAATGACAATAATTCATGAATATCGATTAGGTACCATTGCTTGGTATCCTCTATAATGAGTCATATATGAATTAATATACTTCTCCATGGATATACACCGTTGTTCAAAAGTTTGGGATCAGCAAGATTTGTAATGTTTTTTGAAAGAAGTATCTTTTGCTCATCAAGGCTGCATTTATTTGATCAAACAGAGAGACAAAACAGTAATATTGTGAAATATTATTACAATTGAAAACGGTTTTCTATTTTATTATACTTTAAAATAGATTTGACCCTTATGACTGGTTTTGTGGTCCAGGGTCACAATTTTCATCTGCCATTACTCCAGTCTTCAGTGTCACATGATCCTTCAGAAATCATTCTGATTTATTATCAATATGCTGATTTATTATCAATGTTGAAAACCGTTGTTGCTGCTTAATATTTGCTTTGTGGAACCTATGATACTATTTTCAGGATTCTTTGATGAATAAAAAGTTAAAAAGAACAGTATATTCAAAATAGAAATCTTTTCTAACAATGTGTCTTTATCACTTTTTTTAATAAAAAAATACTGATCTAGGGCCTCATTTATAAAAGGTTGCGCAGAAACCATCCTAAACTTGATCTTACGATCATCTCTCAAATATGTGTAGGCCTATGTGTGATTCATAGAATGAACGTACGCACAGAAAACGCACGTACGCCTCTCTTTCAGATGTGAAATCTATGAATCGCAACTAATCTTGAACTTGCGTGCAACTGAATGGTTTCAGCTCTCTGCCTTGTAAACGATTCCTAATTAATGTCATTAACAAAAGATCACCAGTCATCGTCCAAATTCTTTAATTTAGAACAGCGAGCTGCAAGAACAGCTTACATTTCCAAAAACCTGCAGCACTCCGACAAGAAAAAGTACATACGTCTGCTCAGACCCTGACGTGACGATAAACACTTTTCCACGTCAAAGGCAGTTTTTACAAATATGAGCGTTGGCGTGGATTTGAGCGTATGCACACTCTATCAAATCAAATCTGTGCGTACGCACGCTTTATAAATGAGGGACCTAGAATCTAGAACATTCTGCTGAGATATATTTTCCTTAAACTATATTCAAGGGATTTGACCATTTAAAATGAAACCACAAAGACAGTAACATTGCTGTCACTTCATTGCCTGTGCCTGTAAACATGAATGATGTAATGTCATGCAATATATTTTCCAACTGTTTTATATTTTGTACCCACACGGACTAATAAATATATTAAACAAAAAAAATAGATTAAAATGATTCAATAATAATATAGAAATTAATAAAAAAATAATTAATTACCAATATATTAATACATTTGAATAAATTATGATAATTATTTAGAAACAAAACCTACATGTAAATGGGTTTTGATTATACATGTTTTATATGTATTAATACTACTACTACTACTACTACTAATAGTAGTAATAAATAATACCAATTATTAATAATATATAATGTTATAATATATAATATCATTGTTAATAATTATGTTATAATTAACAATTATTAATGAAACCAATGAACATTCCACAAGTGATGTATTATTTCATTATTGTAGATGAGTATTGAATTTAAGTTTTGCATTTCCTGTGAAAAGTAAAGAGCGCTGTAGCTACAATCTGCCTTTACGCAGATTTATCTTATACATGCACATATTTTTTACAGCAGGTGTGAACCGTATGACTGTTCTCTAACATGATATTACAGGGTGAACTGAGTCTCTCCTCAGACATGGAGCAGCTCCAAACCGCTCTGTTCTATGACAGCGTTCCAGAGAGCTGGAGCAGGTTGGCCTACCCTTCAACCAAAACACTGGCTCTGTGGTACAGTACCCTTCATAATAACGTCACATTACAGAAGAAATCTACAACACTCAACTGTTTCACTGTAGGCTTTAGTTATAAGGTCTACATAATCGTATCCTGCAGGTTCAGTGACGTTCTGGCTCAGTGTCGAGAGCTGGACACATGGACTCAAGACTTTGTGTTTCCTGCTGTGGTTTGGATCTCTGGACTCTTTAGTCCTCAATCATTTCTTACAGGTAAGACAAATGGCCACATGAACACATCCAAAACAAGACTTGCTGCCATTGTACTTAAAAGTGTTCTGCTTTGCAGCAATTCTGCAGAGTATTGCTCGAAAAAACAAGTGGCCTTTAGATCGGATGAGCCTGTCTGTGGACGTCACCAAGAAAACCAAGGATGATTATGGCCATCCTCCTCGAGAGGGAGCGTACATTCATGGACTCTTCATTGAGGGTGAGTATAAACTCTATTCCAATGCGAATTTCCTGTTTGTGTGGATGAATGTGACACAGCTCTCCTCCTGCAGGTGCTCGCTGGGATAGCTCCTCGGGTCTGCTATCAGAGGCTGTTCTGAAGGAGTTGACTCCAGCTATGCCAGTGCTGTACATACGCGCGATACCCATCGACCAGCAGGATGTGAGGAACACCTACGAGTGCCCAGTGTACCGCACCAAACTCCGCGGCTCCACCTACATCTGGAGCTTCCGTCTCAAAACACGCCAACCGCCTGCAAAGTGGGTTCTGGCAGGAGCAGCACTGCTTCTGTCAGTGTAAACAACCAACCAACTCCATTCTGCTCACAGAGGTTGACTTCTACAAGTTATATGCTGATGGAATCATCATTTTTTTTGGTTTCGTATTAAATGCAAATAAGATGTTATGTTGTCTGATGCAGGGCTGCACGATTGATCAGAAATAAAACCAAAATCATAATATGACTTATCAAATCGCAAATGCTGCAATTGAATTAAATATAGATATACGCGGAGTTTCAGGTGAAGCACATCTTTTACACACAAACCTGTCATGATCCATGTTTTTAGTGCCTCAGAGTGGCTCAGTTCACAGTAAATGATTTCATCTCTACATCTGCTGTGCATTATGTCGTTCATGTATTTGGAAACGCAACATTCGCCAGCCATCTTCCCAAAATTGTAATGAATGATTATAGACCAGCTGTTGTCATCATAAATAAATTAATTTGCAGTACTGCAATAAAATGCTGTTTTCTGACAAAAAAGCTTGATAATTCAATGTTTAAAAATTATATTATATATAATTTTTTTTTTCATTTCACGGTGAGATATTTCAATAGTATTTTTTCTTATTTTAATATTTTATTTAAAAGCTAGTAACTAAACATTACATATTATTTTTACTTCGTCATTTTGATGTAGAATCTCAGAAATGGGGCCAAATTGTCCAGCCCCACAAATAAGTACAGCAAACCGTGGATTTTTTTATTTTTTTTTTCACAATTATATTTTTACCAAATCGTGCAGCCCTAGTTTTACAGAAACATCAGTATACCGTAGAAAAGTTGCCGTTATTGGTATAAGTATTGTTAGTATTAACACTTTGCAATATTGATGTTGTTATTAGCTTAATTAAATTTAAAGCTGGTTCTAGACAGCTCTGTGCTCACTGAATGACACAATCTCCTCCAGTGCTGCTACAATGAGACTCCCAGTAGATTATGAACCAGGCTGATACTGATTTTCAAATGAGCTGTGTTTGACCTTCCTCTCCTGCTGAATACAGATAGATAGTGTGATTCATCTCACGCCCGGGACAGAAACCAATTTATCATCTCTGAATGACATGCTTGGTCATGTCCATTTTTTCCCCTCACGTGTCCCTTGATGGGATTTAATAACTAGCTACAGTATATTGCTGAACTGAACAAATGTGATTTTGTTCAATAGTGTTCAGAAGGTAAACTGTTAAACATCAAATTCTACACAGTACACAATCACAAAACACAACATCTGCTGTTGGTCTGGGATTGTCCGTGTGGTTCTTTGCTATGACGCAGACTTTGTCAGGAGACAAGAAAATGATACATCTGTCCCGGAGAGGGAAATGAGAGGTTAGCACAAGCTATGGAGCTGTTCCTCCCCTCTCAGTGAGTCCAGCAGTGGCCTCGCAGCAGGTAATAATGGCCCAGAACAGGATGGATCTGTAACTGTTTAGACAGTTCATCCTCGGCTCACACTGAGACGCACTGTAAGCCAATCGAGCGTCACAGAGAATATTCACACTATTACTGATGCATAATGAGGTCTGGGGTTAGTAGGAAGTCACGATTTGTAGACCCAATGAATCAAAACGGGAGTTTTGTGGCATTTCCTGTTAGTCTCTATGAGCTAATGTACACTTAAACGTTAACAAACCACTAGGTGGCGGTAAGTGTCTAGTTTACGTTTAACATTTTCAAACATACTGTATAAAAATGAGTAAAATATTAAACAAAAGATGGATTTTACAGCACCTGGGTGCACCTGAAAAAAAGACAGTGTCAGTTATTATTATTTTTTCTTTAATGTCAGGCTCTTTGTGAAGAAAACTAGTGCAAACAGCAGCTACAGTCAGTCACTGCAAACACTTGTTTTTCTGAAGGTGAGATGTACACCTTGCTATTGCTTTATGGCCTGTTTATCATTATTTATTAAAAACAAAGTCTTCATATTTACAGAGTTCACATGTGAACCTCACAGGCATTATCAGACTGGTCAATCAATGGCGTTGCCAAATCCTTCAGACCATCTGATCACATTTACAGTACATTATATCTTTTCTTTGTATTTAAAACTTGTTTTGTCTTCCCTTCTGATTCAGGGACAAGCTTGTTGTTTAATAAATATCTCAATGTCTCACAAGTCAAAGTACAACTTATACAAGAACTCTATACATTTGCTTTCTTCAAGCACCATCTCATGTAAGCCATTACAGAACCATTGCTCAGTTATTTTCAGTAGGGCTTTTCCAATAAAATACATCCATAATTTAAAACCCAATTATTTCTATGACAGTCTGCTAAATAGATTGCACAGATATAGTGTTTTCCCTCAAATATATGCATAATTTTAGGATTTACTTACGGTTTATGCAAGTTCAACTAATTGTCGCTTTAATCTAAATTTCTACTAGCAATTCTGCACCTGAAATACAGTGTGCTGCCTTGGGATATCTTTCTGATTGTCTACAAATTGTTTGTTGGCCATGATCTAAAAAGGCATCACATTGTTTTGTTATTTGCGCATGTAGCTCAAATTTCAGACTAATTGGACTGCACAGAAATAAAGATGTGCCTATTAATTTCTCATATATGCATATGCTCTTATTTATTAGTGAAGCTACATATTTTGCAGTGGCAAACTGGCTCAAAATAACTAAAATCTGCCCTACACTACTGAGTGAAAGTGTGATGTATGAAGACATCTGAATTCTCAACATGATCTTTCTGTACTGTAACTTAAAGAATACTGGATCACTGTAATGTTTCCTGTTATAACCGTTCAGTAAATTCTTGCTGTTTTCTTGCATGATTCAGCTTCTTTGTTCCTTTCACATGGTGGGTTGAACTGGCTGAGATTTCTTTGGCTGTGTGATACTCTGTATCTGTTCTGTGTGGTTGGCGTGATTGTGTCTCCCCCTAGTGGAGGATTTACTCGTCACAGTCTTCAGTTAGAGCAAGGATGCGGTCCAGTCTTCAGTAGTGGTTTTAGGATATATATCGAGTTGTTTTATGTCCTGGGCTCAAGTCTGTGTGAGAGCTCAAACAGAGTCTGTTGATTGTCGATGACGTGCAGGTAATTGATGTACGTTCTCACTTCCACGCTGTCCTTCTGGGACAACATGTTTCCTAATGGACAAAAAGCCAAAGATAATTATTACACCCTATAGAAATCAACACAACAGTAGTGAGACTGACTTTCAGTGTACTTGAAACCACAAAACTGGGACAAAACTATTTTTTGAGTGTAGAGAGAGATCTGGGTTATGCAGTAATATACGGTCTGTCTATGTTCAAATTTAAGTGCAAGTGGTCATTGTTTTAAAAGCTAACACTTTCTGCTATCTAGGCTTAAAATGAAGAGACAACTTCTGAAGAGACCATTTCTAGGCTGATTCCTCTGAGAAGTGTAAACATTGTGGTGCTATCAAAAACATTTCGGTTGTTTGAGCAGTCCGACCAGCAACTAGCCATAGCAACACTGGCTCAACCAATGGCACGAGTTTGTGTTAGGATTATCTGTTTATCTGGCCAATGGGAATTTGTGGGTTAGATGGGAAACCTGTTTGAAACAGGTTGCAATTTTTTTTGCAACTTCATTTTGGTTCACAGTTGCCAAGTCTTGCGCAGTTTTCCCGTGGAATTGGGCAACTTTAACACTGTTGCCGCGGGGTTGTTTTTCATAAGCGACCCCAATAATGTGATATTTAGCCCCTGCGATGTGACCTCACCAAAAACCGTGTATTTTACTCCCCAGAACGTGATTTTTACTGGGGGACCCCCCCTCAAAATGCCATTGGGCTAGTTTTGGGCTAGTTTTGAGTAGCAACTGGGCAGGTTTTGTTGTGAAAACCTGGCAACCCTGTTTGGGTTCAGCTGGGCAGAGATTACACACTTCATCAAGGTAGGAAATATTTAAACTTATAAATCTGTGTGATTTGAGCACTTACCCATGTGATCTGTCCGACACTGCCTGATAATCCGCACTGTGTCTGCTATCATGTGCTGTACATAAAATACATTCACATTAGCTTGTTTTGCTCATTTGATGGGACATGATCTTAAAGGAAGAGTTTGCCCCAAAAATGAGAATTCTGACATCGTTTACTCACCCTCATGTCATTCCAAACTTGTATGACTTTCTTGGGGAAAAAAGCCCTCTTTATTTTTGCAGGTCTGGAATGACGTGGGTAAATAAATGATGGCAATTATCATTTTTGGGTGAACAAGCTCTTTAATTAAAAAAAAAAAAAAAAACATCTATAAGGTCTAATTGTTCACTTACTAGTTTGTCAAAGTTGACTAGGTTGTCGAGAAATGTTTTGTTGCCCTCATGAATGAAGGTAATATCTGTTCAGATAGAAATTGTTTAGACTTTAGTACACACATTACATGCAAAACAGCAACAACAACAAAAAATCTCTCAAGGAGACTCTCACCATGTCCTAACCAGATACATTGCAACAAAGCAACTAGTGATAAATGCTAATTCTTTTGTTCAAACCAGCCATGACCAGACATTTTGTCAGTATGTAGGTTTCTATTTCTGCTGTTGTGATTGGTAGCTCTGTCCACTGCAAAATCTCATTAGTCCAAAATCCCACTCTTCATAACTGAACTTTCAAGTCAGCTAGAATGGAAATTCACCCTATTTTCTAAATATATGATTCATTTAAGCATTTCATAAATTTTTTTCTCCGTGAAAATGACAGACTTGTCTTTGGTGACTTCTGCTGGACTTTTCCAATCATGTCGTCCACATAAATCCAAACCCATGGTGTCACGTGCAAATTTTGAATAATCTGATGATATCATGTATGTTAAGAAGCATAAATTTGCTTACTGCACCTTTCAGAAGTAGAGGTAGGAAAGGGATCTTGGGAGACTTCATCTTCCTGAAGGCATCTCTGTAGGCTTTGTGATTTAAAGAAGGGTCCTGCGGGTCATGAAAAAGCATTCATGTGCACATATTTGTGTGTTTGTTTTATTTTACACTGAAACCATCTGGTTTGTCTCAAATCTCTTCCTCTGTAACACCACATGCTGTTTCCTCCCTGGAGGCCAGAGGCTCTGATATGATTACGGCTTCATATATTACATCCTAATGAGCCGTAAAAAGCACAAAATTCTCTAGCAGGAGGCAACTTAAGATTGGGTTGAGACAATCACTTACTGTCAGGCTCTCCAGCTCAGAGAACAACTTCCTGAACTTCCCAGGGACTTTCTGAAATGAGGACAGATATAAAAATAAAAAAAAGACACAGAAGAATTTAAGCCAATACACAGTTCCTGTTTAGCAGAGTTTGCAATACACTCTAGTTTCTTGCTTCTAAAAACATAATTCATCATAAATATAGACTGATGTTGGAAATCTAAGTGCAACACTACCACTTCTTCATATTTAGTAGTATATTTCTGTGCACTGGAGTTGGTGCTTTCCTACCTCCCATGTCTGAGTGAGTCGACTGACGGCGGGACTGTTCAGTCCCATAATAATAGCAAAGAATGAGTTCAAGTTCCTCTGTGCTTTACAGCTAAATAAAGAAAGGAAGATAACATGAGCGTGTTCACCACCTGAACCATTTGAGTAGAAAGAAATACAACCACAAATAATTTCACATTTTAAAGAGCTCATATGACGTTGCTAAAAAGAACATTATTTTGTGTATTTGGTGTAATGCAATGTGTTTATGCAGTTTAAGGTTAAAAAACACATTATTTTCCACATACTGTACATTATTGTTTCTCCTCTATGCCCCGCCTTTCTGAAACGCGTCGATTTTTACAAAGCTCATCGTTCTAAAAAAGCGAGGTGTGCTCTGATTGGCCAGCTATCCAGTGTGTTGTGATTGGCCGAATACCTCAAGCGTGAGACGGAAATGTTACGCCCATCACCATACTGTGATGCCGTGTCCGGCCGGAGCGACGAGACAAAAACATTAAAACCCATTACAAACGAGGCATTTGTTGCATCCAGTGAGGACATAATTACGGATTATAATGACTTATACTGTCTGTTTACGCGTTGCATTGCATCGAGCGGCGTAAACATAAAACCATGTCTGCATTTGTGATCGGAGAAATGACAAACAACAAGTGCTAACGTTAATCCACACTGCCCAAAACTCGCGTTTGAATCATCAGTGGCAAATGATAAAAGAAAACGTACTTACGTGAGTCAGAACTGCCGGCATTTTAGTCTAACGTAACTCTCCCACGAATACCTCAAGCGTATGATGGAATTGTTACGCCCCTTACCATATGATGCCGTGTCCCAGCGCGACGAGACAAAACCAATAAAACCATTATAAACGAGGCATTTGTTGCATCCAGTGGGGACATAATTACTGATTATAATGACTTATACTGTCTTTTTACGCATTGCGTTGCATCGCGTCGCGTAAACATAAAACCATGTCTGCATTTGTGATCGGAGAAACGACAAAAACCAAGCGCTAGTCTACACTGCTCAAAACTCGTGTTTGAATCGTCAGTGGCAAATTCTTTAAAAAATTCTGAAAGCATACTTACAGGCTGTGAGTGAGCATTATTTGTCAAGAACACCGGCATTGTAGGCTACTCTCCCAGGAAACAGTCCTCGTCCTCCGCGCCACAATGTCTGGGTGTTCTTAGAGGTTTTAGCACGTTACTATATGATTGCAAGGATGTTTTGAGTTGTTAGGTGGTTGCTTGCCGGCCCAAGTCAAAAGTGTATGATATTCTTGAGCTTGGATATGGCTGTGGTCCTTCAGCACAAGTCTGTGAGATTATTTTCGGTTTGTGAGCGTATACTTACTGTGCTGCGATCTTGATGAATTTCTTGAAGAGCTGCACACGTTTGCAGAGGGTCGGGCACAGAAGTACTTCGGTCATCACCCACTGCTGAGTCTCATTGCAGCGCTGTAACAGCTGCTCCAGCGCCACCATGTGGCCAGTGCTCGTGTCACGGCTCAGAGTAAAGTATACCAGCTCTTGCTGCAGAGAAAGGAAAAATGACATGGATGTTGGATATTTTAGAAGATTCTTTTTTGAAAGTCAGTATTAAATTAAGACAATTGAGTATGTTTGATTACAAATCAACCATATTCTTAAAATGACCATTGTCACGTTGAATTCACCCAAAGTTCACCCAAAAATGTAAACTCTGTCATCATTTACTCACCCTCACGTCGTTCCAAACCAAAAAGACTTTCGTTCATCTTTGAAACACAAATGAAGGTATTTTTAATGAATATTTATATTATAGTATATTTTAATGAAAAAGTTTATAAAGGCATAGTAAATGTAATCCATATGAATCAAGCACTTTAATCCAAGTCTTAAACTAAGATAAATTATTGTGTTATATGATGAATAGATTTAATTACTTTATTTTTCATTTTAGTTTCATTCGCATGTAAACACTGATCAACACACATACACAGAGAACATTAAATATGATTTACCTTAACACAGTGAGAACAATCATCAAAGTTTTGGGTGAATTTACTTTTTATGGAGACAGAAATCTCTCAGATTTCATAATCAATATCTTCATTTGAAGATAGTTATTTATTTATTTATTTTTGAAGATGAACAAAAGTCTTATGGAGGGTAAGTAAATAATGTCAGATTTTTCGGTCACTTTATTTAAAGGTTCAATTCTCACTATCAACTATGACTTTTGCCTCAAACTCCTAATTTGCTGCTTATTAATAGTTAGTAAGGTAGTTGTTAAGTTTAGGTATTAGGGATGAAGAATATGGTCATGCAAAATGTGCGTTTTATAAACACTAAAAACAGCCAACATGTTAATAATTGGCATGCTAATAAGCAACTAGTTAATAGTGAGAATTGGTCCCTATAGTAAAGTGTCACCAAACTTGATTATATATAATATTTAAACATCTACTATATGAAAACAGATATTATGCAATAATTCCACTCAATGTGATCACTTCTGCACACCCAGTCAGTAATGACAACGATTTTACTAAATTTGCAGCGCACACTTAATAAACAGAATGCTATCGTGGGTGTGGGATTCGGGTCACACTTTATTTTAAGGTCCAGTTCTCACTACTAACTATTAACTACGTTTACCTCAATAAACTCCTAATTTGCTGATTATTAATAGCTAGTAAGGTAGTTGTTAAGTTTAGGTATGGGGTTAGATTAAGGGATCTAAAATATGGTCATGCAGAATAAGCCATTAATATGTGCTTTATAAATACTAATAGTAATATGCATGCTAATAAGTAACTAGTTAAAAGTGAGAATTGGTCCTTAAAATAAAGTGTTATTTTTAAACTTTTTTTTTTTTTAATGCTGTAGTTGTTTAAACTGGCTCTTTGTGTCAATACTCACTACCTAATTGGCTGATTTTAAATTTACATTTTGCTTTAGTTTAGTTTGTATTTCAAAGATATCCTTTCTAGGACACCTTCTCTAGTGCTGCACTGTCTGAAATGTGAAGACTTTACCTCATGGACATTACTAAAGAGACTCCAGTCACAGTTGGTGAGCGACACGGCTACATCCCACGTGTTCATGCTCAGCATCTTTACTGAGCGCTGCTGCCCATTATCAGTGAAGGGACTCTGGGAGAACAGAAGACAGACACTCAAGTGCATTGTTATTTGTCAGATTTAAAGGGGCCATATCATGAACAAAAGGATTTGACTTGCTCTTTTAAATTAAGAGTTTAATGTAATATGTATACATAGTCCCTTCCCAGTTGAATCAAACCATTTATGAATACTAAGATAAAGTGGGTCAATCACAAATTAGAACAACAAGCATATTAACATATGACCACCCAAATTTGCATATCAACACCTATTCGATAATCAGCAACCTGATCCAGCATATGAGAATGTAACACTACTGGCTCTCCTGAGTAACATATTATTTTTGTATACTATTCAAGTATATTTTTGTACTTGCATTGAGTTTGTTTCTGGCATAAAATACGGGCAGGAACTTTGGTGCAAGAAAAGTTTAGAATGCTGTGCCTTTAAAGTTGTACAGTTGTGTGTAGACTTGAACTAATGGAGTGGAAAGCAGATTTCTTTTAAGAGCAGTTCAGAGAACAGCATTCTGACTCTCACCATGATCTCAGTCAGGTCTCTTCTGCAGACGTGCAGCCGCTCAGCGGCACTGAGTGAAGACGAGAACACACACTGATCCGACTGAAGCAGAACCTTCTCTGGAGAAAGAGAGAGAAAGAGGAATAACAATGGAGAGAAAACAGCAATATCGGGGAATACCAAACAGTGAGCTACAAAAGAAAAGAGGTAACAAAAAATTTATTTAGAAAAAATTTACTTGGTCCCAAGAACCATTTGGTCAGTAGGAAAAAGTAAAATAAAATAAAACTGGCGAACCACTAAAATTTGCTGAAGTGGTTATTTTGAAAAATTAAATGTTACTCCAAAAATCTCTTTCTATATCAAAAGTATTTGCATATGAAGACAAATTTTGCCTCATCACTTTTTCACCAATGTCTATACTATGTTCCTCTGGGAGTCTTTTGGCTCAAACGTGGATGCCCCTCTAACAGCCCTTATATTTATGATTGTATAACTTAATATATTATAATTTTTAATAAATTTTTACCATTTATTGTTAGACAAATTATGTTGCTTGATAATTTTAAATAACCAGAAACATATTTTCAATAATCATATACACTGTGATCAGAAAAAAATAAAAATAAAGGTGCAGTTTATAATATTGACAGTTAGCGGTTGAAATGGGTACTGCAGTCCAAATTCAAAATATTGGAGGAAGTTGTTTTTCCCGCTCCCTCCTCCTCAAACTTAATGCTAACGCGGGTTGCCAGATTGTGGACATGTAACAGGAAAAATGCAGTACTCTGCGTTTTCCACTAACTGGCAACCCAGTGTATCAAATTACCGTATTGTCCCGAATATAAGACGATGTTTTTTTCTTGGAAATACATCTCAAAAAACGCGGTCGTCTTATATTCAGGGTCTAGACTTTGACATGTCAATAATACACCCACAACAATAGGTGGCGCCAAATACGCATAAAACAAGTGTGCCATTAAATACGTAATGTAATGCGTGTTGTAAAGATCGCGAGTAAAAACCAAAGAAGCAGAAAACCTTACAGCTGCATGAGTGGTGACTGTCACGTTAGCCTGATGGGACCAACTCTACTTCTACTGTTAATAAGATTTTGGTAGGCTACTATTAGATGGATAGCCTAAATGTCCTAATTCAGATGGGCTACCTGTTTTTTTTTTTTTTTTATGGTATATCAAAAAGTGTTTATTTTTTAAATGTGATTGTTGGTATATTTTACCAGTTTTTACCATACTTTCAAAACAAAAATTAAAATAGGAATATGCAATATGATAATAATTGAAGACAAAATGTGTTTTACTGAGAAAAAACAAGATTTGTTTTTTAAAAAGCCTTTTTCCAAAAGGTACATCTGGAAAAAGGGGGGGTCGTCTTATAATCAGGGTCGTCTTATATTCGGGCCAATACGGTACTACTGGTTAAACTGGCAGTGGGCAGAATCACACGAACCAAAACAAAAACAGACATCCCGACACAGAATGCACATTCAAAGTAGAATAACTGGCTTTAGCATTGTTTTGGGGGGAAACAAGGATGTGAGCTTAACATTTCCTAAATATCTGCAAACATATGGTATTTTTTATGCTTTAGAACAGTCAAAACAATTACATACAGCACCTTCAATACAAGCTTTTAGCTCTGTTTTACCCTAATGACTTGTTTAAAAGCATGATGCACCCTGCAGACAGGTAAGTCTAAAACAAACACAAACCAATCAATATGAAAATAGACAGATGTAAGAACTTGTTCAGACCTCCAGGATATGTGACGGCCATCAGCACCATGTCGTCCTCATCACAGTCGAGCCTTTCGGCCACAGTGCTCAGCAGTTCCTGAACGGACACCTCGCCGTGTGTCCTCACACTCACGTATGAGTCTATGGTCACGTACACACGACACCACACTGAGGAGAAACACACACACAAACATCCAGCGCTGCATCAATCAGCCACCAATTCACATAAAAATGCCATAAAACAAGGTTCTCACATAGTATTATTCATAAACAACCTGCTGTGGTTCTCCAGCAGCTCTGTAGGCAGTCAGAACGCTATGAGAGTGTAGGAGAGAAATATGAGGGAATATTTTATGAGCTTACCTTCCTTCCTGTCCCTCTGAGCTCCTCTCACAGGGTGCCAGTTCTCCTTCAGACTCAGCTGGTGGAAGAGAGCTTTATTCTGGAAGATAATAAACACGTGGCATTGAGAATATTATTGTTTTTGAGATATACACATGCTGACACACACACCTTAAGACAATGGAGAAAGCCTTACGCTGTATAACTTAGTAGTGTTATTGTTAACTAAAACTAAAACAATTAAAACTTAATTGAAACATTTTCATTAACTGAAATAAAGCTGAAATTAAAATAAAAACAAACTTTTGAAACAAAAATATTTTAATTGCTATACTAAATTACTGTACTAAGTAAACATTTCTAGATATTACTAACAATTACTATAGCTAGAACTGGAATAAAAATAAAGCTAAATAGAAATATTAAAAATAATAAATGACAAAAACACATAAAATAACTACAACTTGAACTGCAATTGTAAAAATAAATCAAACTGACTAAAACAAGGAATAATTTTATTTCTAAAATATTAATTACTAACAGCAGGAAATTCAAATTCATTTTCTGATTAAAGGTCCGTTCACACCAAATACAATAACTAAAAAGATAACTATAACAATATTAGCATCCACATCAACCTGTGGTAACGTTCAGTTTATTCTAACCATGCACTGCAGCTAACCAAGCCACTGTAGATGCTTGAGCTCTTTAAAGCAGGATGGATTCTGATTGGCTTTTGAAAATGAATCCAAATATACTGTTCTTCTGCATTGTTATCGTTATAGTTGTGGTGTGGAATTAAAATGTTATAGTTATTGTTATCATCCATGGTTTGAACGGACCCATTTCACATTTTTATAATATTTCGGAAGTCCATTTTTGATAAGCTCGCTATCGCCATCTCTGGTCAAAACATTAAACTGCAAGTTACTTTAGGATGAACTGTGATATATATACAGTGTGTGTATATACAGTGCTGTGAAAAAGTTTTTGCCCCCTTCCTGGTTTTCTTTTTTTTTTTTTGCATATTTGTCACACTTCAGATCATCAAACAAATTTTAATATTACACAAAGATAACCCGAGTAAATACAAAATGCAGTTTTGAAATAATTATTTAATTTATTAAGGTAAAAAAGCTGTCCAAACCTGCCTGGCACTACGTGAAAAGGTAATTGCCTCCTAAATCTAATAACGGGTTGTGCCACCCTTTGCAGCAACAACTGCAATCAAGAGTTGTTTTGCAATCAAGTGAGTCTTTCACATCGCTGTGGAGGAATTTTGGCCCACTCTTTGCAGAATTGTTTTAATTCAGCCACATTGGAGGGTTTTCAAGCATGAATGGACTGGTTAAGGTCAGGTCACAGCATCTCAATCAGATTTAAGTCCGGACTTTGACTTGGCCACTCCAAA